AAAAACCCACAAACCAACCCAAAGAAACCCTAAATAAGCCAGTCCCCTTAAACAATGGGGAAGGCAATAAAAGATTAACATTCTTGATCTTCAGTTGAGAAATCAGTTCCTCCTGAAGAGAAAAAGGCTCCACAGGCTCAGAAATTCTTTCATAGAACTTCCTACCTTAGCTATTTTGGTTCAGTTTATCTTGGCAACAAACATAACCTTACTTTTACCAGTGTAAAAGCTACACTGGACATAGGGACAATGGGGAAAAATGCATTGCTGGTTGGACTATTTACATCTGCAAAACTTCTTAAGCATAGTTAAATCTATGATAATATATCTGTTGGGAATTAAGTTTATAACATACCCTGCTTGTTACTGAAATTAGAAAGTGTTGACTTTGGAAGACTTCAAGCCAGTAACCTGCAAGTAGGGTTAGCAGTCCCTGACCCAATCATTTACCCAGGGTTCTTCAGATGCTTAAAAGTAAATAAAAATATCACACGCTACCAGTTACCATGCAAGTCACCTTCTGTTTTGTTCTTTTTGTTTTCCCTCCCTTCCTTCCTTGAGAATCAGAGTGATTTAAATGTGAATCTAGGAACTAAAACGTACACTGAATAGCTGTTACATGGTTATTGCCTCAGGGTTCCTTAGCTCAAACATAGCACATCTGTTTATTACATGCTGCTGAGGACACAACAGTGTTACTTCTGGTGTTCACTATGCTCCTGTGCACACTGTTAAGAGTTTAACACCCAGGTTTCCACTGGAGCAGAGGCAGCTAAATTTCTCCCAGTCCAGACGAACTGAGTTAAGTCTGTAAGCATATAAGAATTGTATAATCTCATACAGTAATGCTGTATAAGAACGAGGATCCTGTCTTTGATTGAGGCAAAGAGCAGATGGCTCTGGAAGAGGTTAGGAGTCAGACAACATTGCAGTCATTACATCCATAGTGCACCCTCCTATCTTCCGGCAATCTACATCTCTAATCCAATAGGTTGACTCGGTTTTCAGTCCCCCAGAAAATGTCCTCTTACAGCTTAAAGGCTGACATATGCCCTCACCTCACAGAACAGAGAGTTTTGGTAGCCTACAGTTCAGACCTCTACGTGGTTTAGGGAGTCTGTAAAGAATCATGTATCACAGTGTGCCAACCCTTCAATAAGTCATTCTTAACCTTTTCCCAAAAGACTAGTAAGGCTGAAGGTCAAGTTTTCACAGGTTCAGTGTTTGTGGGGGCTATCAGAAGACCACATGGAGCCTTCCCTTCCAATTTTATCACCTGACAGGGGCTGGTGACTTGAGATCTTCATAGAAGTGCTAGAGAAAATGACAGCCACCCTGCGCTGCACAGCCCTTTGTCTGATCATTGATACTGACGGTCGCTCCAAACAGGTTGGGAGTTGGGCCAAACTCTTCTCTCGTCTAAAGCTACTGATCTCACTGGCTTACTTCAGAGAATACGTTTGTACCTTCTATACTTGTGCCAATTGGCACCTGTTGAGCTTTCCTAGGAAGGTGAATTAAAGTAGTATTTTCCACTGTGGCATCCAGAGAAAGAAAGAAAATCTCAGGAATCCTTTCTATTTTTAAAAGAGATCTTTTAACTCATCTCGTATTTTCTGGTTCTCACCTATAGGTGTGGTTTAACACTGAAATGGAAGAGTGGTTTTGCCTGTGGATCCCACTGTTAGATCCTTCAATGTTGTAGAAAAGCACTTGGCCTCACAGGGCTGACCAGAGCTCTCTCTGGCACATCTTCTAAGCCAGTTTTTTGTGGACTGTGTTGGGGACTACAAAACGGAACGTGAGTTTCCCTTTTCTCTGTAGGAGCTGTGTGTGCCTAATTGTCTTTAGGCACAATTAAGCCATACCCTTTCCTTTTGTGCTGCAACGATTTTTCTGTGATACCTGGCACAGCATATACTACACTTGCATCTTTCCCATCTCTCTCAGCTGCTGTGCTTAATTGGAAATTGTGCTCTAACCACGGAATGCTGATCAAAAGTGAGAATGTGAAGTCAGTTACTATTATGCTTTAAGGGAAGAAAATTATGGAATAGCACTGAAACAGGGAAGCCAGCTACTCTACTTTGGGGTGGGAGGGGATGACACGCCCTAAAAATATATTGTCTCATCCAAAGGTTAAACATTAGGAAGCTCTGAAGAATCTTCTCCACTGGACAAATTGCTTATTTGACCTTAATACTTTACTACTAGAAGACAGCAACAAGAATAGCCTCTGAAGACTTAGCTATTTATGTCATTTAATTACGGTACTCCAGATCAATCTCTCATGTTTTTCAACTGACTTTTGGGGCCAGGTTGTCCTTTTTACAGCCAAAGGACCCCTCATTAAGATATCTGGTGTCTTTCTTACTAGAAGTTAACTTTGTCAGGAAGAGCTTTAGCACACTATAAGCCTGTTAAACACTAGTATAACTGCTTGGCATAATTTCCTCTATTAGTACTTTAAATGTCAATCTCTCCCCAGAGGGCATAAAGCAGTAAGGTCTAGAAATCCACAAGTTTCCCCCCTTAAATATTATTTACAGCAGTTTATAATAATACTTTGAACTGATACATGTTTCATTCTATATAGTCTTAGAAAAAATCTGAATAGAAATTTCTATATTTATCATGTAGCTGAGATACCAATGGGATTTGTGAAGCTTTGAAGACAGATGGACAGTACCTTATCACATAAAGTAGGCCATATCATATGTGAACAGTAAAAATTATATTAGTAATGTGGCTAGATTACAAATATATTAAAATCTGTAATTCTGCTCAGATGTAAGATCATTACTTTTTCTTTCGAGTGCACAGAAAAGGGTGAGGCCCCCAAAGTTACCAGGAATGGATAAGAAAGTTGCTTTTGAGGGAAGCAGACTATTTTGCCAGACCACTTGTAGCTTACCAAATTAACCAGAATACAAAACAATCCAAAATTTGTTTAGAATTTCCTTTACAAAAGGCAAGGCTCTGACATAGTATTTTTAGCATTAGTTTGCAGAACAATCAACATTCTCTTTTTTTTTTAGCTTCAATTTCTCATTTTAAATGCCCCTTCCCCCCCCTTTTTTCCCCTTTTTTTTCCCACTTTGGCTTCCTTACTAACAAATTATGTGCAAGAATGCAAGGCTGAATGAATAAAATTACTGCTGAAAAGTCTCCACTTTCTCAAGTGTTAAACCTGAAACTGCATGGTTTTAGTTCTTTCAAATCTAGCTCTGTTCAGAGAAAAATAATGTAATGTGACTTTAAAGCTAGATTTTGCATATATACACATGAGGAGAATATGAGGGAGTAGGAATGTCTAGAGTCCTGAAACTTGGGTCTGATAGCATGACTAGGCTATTCATGCTGCCTCATGTATGCTCCTAACAAACATATCTGATTTAGGACACTAGTTTTCCTAGGTGATAGATGGACACAGATCTTTCAGATGGTAATCTGGGGATGTTTGCCTTACACTGATTGTGAAGAAGCAATGTAGTTCCACTGATGATATTGGGAGCCTAGGAGGAGTAACCACCTATGTTCGTTACCGCATATTGAGCATAGAGAATTCCCCCCAAACACTACCATGCTGCAACATTTATGCATATTAGTAAATGAGTGGAGTCAGTCTTTTACTCTTAGAGGATTCAGTAGATTCAGTAGTTGCCTTTGGTGGGAAAGAAAAAAATAAATAAGAGCAGTAAGATGAATGATTGTTTCCTTGTACTACAAGGGAATGTCAATCTATTCTGTGCTTCTGAATAAGGATAGTAGCACACTACTGCTTGGGCCTTGTCTTTGGAAGACGCTGTTCCACAGTGTGTCAAAGCTTCAAACATCCAACTGAAAATTTCCAACTGCATAATTTTCTTCATCAGTTTTATCCAAGGAAATGCATGCAGACTAAGGCAGTTGTTTTAGCCTTTTAACTACCTCTACCCTCAGTAGTGCTGGAACACAAAATCTCTTGAACTCAAGTTTGTCTGTAACCATATTAGAAATCCCAGATCATGTAATGTATCTCCGCTGAAGGCAGTACTAAAGATATTTGAGTCCTTGAAATGTTGGTTTGTGTTATGCTTTGAGTGGAAAGAGAACAGTGAAAACCAAAATCACTGGACAGTTTACAAAAATTCCAAAGAAACAGATGTGGGTCTTTTGAACGCAGAAAATTCTTCCTACATTTGCCAGTTACAAATTAAGCCTAACCTGAAAAGCTTGAAAGTAGGACTTATTATGACTTGCAAGAATTAAGAAGTAGGCTGTGGAAAGAAAAAAAATAATGGAATTCCAGGGTAATTTTGGCAAGAGGAGGTCTACTGGCTATTTCTTCTACTGCCTTTCATTAAGAGGGAGTGCTGCGAGGCTGCACGTGGTGTCAGATGATGACTACACTTGAATAGGTTTTACATTCACTGGTTACTCATGCTGCTAACAGTAACTCCCAAACCACAGCAATCAGCTCAAGCAACAGATGCCTTTCCTGAACACAAAGAGGAAGATTCTCAAGGACACTTGACTTGCAGTGATGTCTGGGCCCATAACTCTCCCATTTTGAAAAATGTTCCAAACCATTGAAAAGAAGGTTAAGAATCTCTGTTGGCAATCCCGTACTGCTGCAATATTACTCCGTGTATCAGTGGATTAGACTAAGGCACTGACTTGACTAGAGGCTGAATGAGTTTCAGTTCTCTGCAGTGCAAATTGGTATATCAAAGTTCACTGAAGGTAGTGCAAGTATTCAAGACTCCACTGAGCTTTAAGATCTGTCAGATGACACAGGGACAAAAGGCACTCATGCCTTTTCATGAGGTGTAAGACACCTCATGGTCTTACAAATACCATTTCTTGTGCTCTGGAACTGACAACCTATCACTCAGCTGTGGGTCAATCATATGTGATCACACAAGACAGAAAATACAATATATGGTGTAGCACAGTAAACAGAAAATGAGGCAGGAGCTGATTTGCTGAAAAAAAGGAATGAGAAAGATGTCTCTTACCTGGTCAAGATTGTTGTAAAAATCTATACTGGCTGCACAGAGGTATCTCCCAAGCAGAGTTGCATGGGTAGTAAAAATTGTGGCAACAGGAAGTTTCTGAGATCGAGACAGTATTAAACCCACTCCTGCCTGCCACTCATGGAAGTGGGCAATTATGTTGGGGTTGTCGTCAAACTGACAGGAAAGCTGAAAATAATTAGAAAGAGCATACATGAAACACACATTATCCTGTTCATCATCCCAGCCCCAGAAACCTCTTATTTTCATGCCTTTTTCTGTGTGCTTGCTTTCTTTTTATATGAAAAAGTAGTACAGCGTTCTAAGCGGTCATGTGTCTTGATTCCCATGAGCCCTAATCCTTAGCCCAAGAAACACATGTGCCTCACTAGTGCCTCAGAACAGTATCCTCCCTAGAGTGTTGGGGAGCTCTGGCAAGCACAGTCACTCTTCTTTCTGCTGTTGAAACTCTTGTTTGGATAAAAAAATAATAATCACCTATGACAGACACATGATTCTGCAGATAACGAAGTTTCCTCTCTTCAGGTAGGCTGTGGTAGAGTGACATGTGAATTCACAGTGCTATCATCAATTCTTCCTGTCTGTCTATATTCCCTGTGCAAGGTAGTATCTAATTGCTGAGATATGGCTTGACCGGCTTCAAGGACAGTTTGTGAGTGCGACAAATTGACTACCATAGGAGAGAAAAAGGGAGTTTGAGATCCTACATGTAAGAGCATCTGGTGACGAATAAGGGAGTTGAGAAGAAAGAGAGCAGGAAGTGACAGTAAAGACACAGAAGATTTCCCATAGGGCAGTCTCCCCCCACACTTTCTCCCAGAAAAAATATAGTTAAATGGCAACTTAAGATGTAAGTTTTAAAGACAAATTTGATCTACATCAGTTATCGACTTCCTTAAAATCATATCCTCCAGTCTGAAAACTAAGAACCACATTCCAAAGGTTTTTTTTCCCTGCTGACAAAGCTGAGGTTTGAAAAATCTCTAGATGTAAAAACTGTACCTCTCTTAAAAACCAGGCTGTTAACGATCCAAAAATCACAGCATCATTGGCTTCTCGGTCATGAAAAGGGATCCCTATGTTGCTGACATCCCAAAATTCACCTTTCCACCTGTCCAGATTCCAAGCTGCTGATCCTATATCGAACAGTAAGACATATGGGCTGCCCTCTATCAACCATCTTCCAAAAAAGACCTATGGGAAAGAGGCAAGGATATTAGCAGAAAAAGTTAAAGTGAGGCCAGTTAGCATAACTGTTTTCATCCATCAAATCTTAAATATTCCTTATGTAAAATATGTGATCATAGTCCTACACACCCAGGATTTGTGGTTTTCCTTGCAAAATACATGGACTAATACTGGACCAAAGTCAGAGGTAAAATGAAACTACAATCTTTAAGAACATTTTGATTTTAAGACTTTTATTTTAGATTTTAATTGTAATGCTAACTTTTTTAATGAAAAAAAAAGTGTAGAAAGACTGTATTTGGTTGACTAATGAGTTCTTATGTTCTTATTGAAGTATCTATGCCATTTTTGTTCTTATTTCAAAATTATTATTTTCTTTCAGTCAGATTTGTAACCAAGCTTTTGGCATTTATGCTAGATTACTGGTGATAGTTTTTGTAGGACAGGTGCTTGGGACCTGTATCTATCGCGACATCTCCTCATTCAGCCCAGGTAGCACAGCTGATGCTCTTTGGCGGTGTGGAAGGATCAATCAGACAGTGTAATAATACTTAAAACCACATGAACCTAAAAATACAGCTTTCCTGCTTTTATCTGCATCAGTATAGTTAAACATCTTTAACAGTATTTAGAACTCCACTGATATAGCATACCTCCCCAACCTGCCCAACCAAGAGAGTAGGCTGGAACTGTCATAAGGCAACAGAACACAGCTGGGCTCACTCTACACATTGTACCGGTCTCCATTGTCAAATTATTTCACATTAATTCTACCATCAAAATGGCTATAGCAGCAGAGACATACTAACCGGGAAGAATGAGGTACTATAGGGAGGCTAGTTCAGTTTACACCCCATGTGGAAGCATCTTTTATGCCACTGTTCCAACTCTTGTCATTCACCAACCCCTGGGACCTCAGCAGTTGAACCTATTCTGACACTAGAATGGGCTGAATAGAGGTAAGTCTTGAAAATAATGAGATGAAATCTCTTAGACCTGTTTGCACAAAAAATACAGAGTATTAACAAAGACAAGTGTGTGAAGGAGGGACAGCTTCTTATGTACTTACTTCAGGCTATCCAGATTTCTTATTCAGGAAAATTACGTTAAAGAGCAGGAAGTTTGTGTGAACCCAGACTTCATCTAAATATGGAGTCAGGCTGTGGCAAGGAACACACCCAACCTGAGAAGTTTGGAAGTGTTCCTAGGTCCTCTGGTTTAAAGGGATCCATTGTGATGCATAAGCAAAGTCCAGACATAAATGTTAATAGGATAAGTGCAGCTCCTGGAAACTAGAGCATCATTATTAGAGATCAAAGCTATACTTGTCATACCTGGGACAGATTTGCTGCTATATATGAATACTCCAGCAGCATAATGCACATGTAAGGCTGGCAGAGTTGGCTGATTAAATTGAATGTATTGCTGGAACAGCATGAAGTGTATAGATACAGCATTGCAATTCATCTGCCCTATAAATCTTTATCTGTTTTCCAAACAAAGGAGCGTTACACAGCTTGCAGAGACATTTCTTTGTAAGGAACAGAGGCAACATGGAAAACTTGATCAATTACTTATGAAAATCTGATTAAAAATAAGAAATGGCAGTTACATTAGACCTTTCAGTTCGAACCTCAACCTCAACAATGCAAGCATCACAGAATGTTATTGTCCCCAACAGACACCTTCCCAAGCTGTGGCACATATACATCCAACAATACGCTTCTGCATAATATGCAATAGGGCATTAGTTTCTAATAACAGCAGAACTGCTGTTGCAAAGGGAGATAACACATTACCAGTGCCACGGCTGGTGGCAGTCCGAGAAGTTTATGTATTTCTACATTCAAGTGTGTCATGTCCCTCAGCAACAGAAGCTTGTAAGAATGCTTCCTTGCTGCTGCCTCTCAATGCTTTTCACATCTCTTCCACACACATTATAAGCAGACAATTTTTCCTCCTGCCAACTAGTATCTCTAAGGGACTCAATGCTGAATCAGAGTGAAGGCGAATTCTAGATCTCTGATGAGGACTTTCAGGAAAGGAGGTCAGATTTAGCATGTGTTATCTTCCACCAATTTTCAGGTAATCAGTTGTCCTCGAGGCTGCTGCTGCTTGCAGCTTAGTAGCTTACCCATCAACACAGCAGATCCTATTCCTTTCAGCAGATCACCTTTATAGGAAAATGTTTATTCCTAGTTAATTGTTGGAGAAACTGAGTCACGGAGAGGCTATGAGATTTGACTGAGATCACACAGAAAACACTGGTTAAAAATGGCATAGGAAACAGATTAACTCACTCCTTGTGCTGTGGTTTAACCTCTCTTCCTAGGGAACAGACAGATAGTTGCATTGATCTGAGGAAGCAGATTCTTTGTCAGTTGGGTGCTTTTTCTAAGACCATCTGTGGTTTGTCCCTTTCTGACTTTCAACTCAATATAATGCTACATAAGAAAAGTTGTGAGCTAGCAGAATGCTTTTCTCTCTCCAGCACAAATGTAACGTAAGGGTTCAGTCAAAGTAAGGTCATATTATATCTACTAAAATCTCACTGTATTTAGAGACTGGATAAATAAGTCATTAATCCAATTAAGTAGACTTGCAGATAAATGACTGTTAAAACCTATAATTGGATAAACTGGTTCTTCCTCAAAAATAACTTTTAATGAATTGACTCTTCTAACAGTGGATTCTGAGCCTTTCCCATTGTGACATTGACCAGGACTGCTGTGTCAAGTGGAAAGGCAAGAGCATTAACCAAAACTGTAATCTCCTCAGAGTCAGCTTTGTTGCCCTGGGAAGCAGTAGGACATCTTATTTACCTGACACCCTTGGCTTTTCATGGTGTCCATTGCCTTCTTAACTGCAGGGTTTGGAGGCTCACATGATTCCACCTGAGTCTTCACATTGTGCTCAAAATAGGGACCAACCAGAAAATAGTTTTCACCCCATTCATCTGCCGTAATTTTGGCTTTTGTCTGGATCACAGTGTAAATGCCTCCCACTGCAAAAGAAGATCACAAAAAACAAAAAGTAGAAAGGCGCACAGGCCACAAAGCTCTGGAATAAGCTCCAACCCACTGGTGGATCACATACACCTCTAGTTAAATCACTTCACATATTCAGATTTTAAGTGAAACCCAGACTCTACCAAATAAATAGAAGTTCACTCTCTTAAATGGGATCAGAACTTCACTGTTCAATTTAGGAGTATGCTCTGATAGCAGACTGCATGTAATTCTTAAATGACAATTTAACGCTTTTCTCACTCCTTGGTGACTGCATATGTTTTCCCTCAATTTGTCCTCTAATCTCAAATGGATGCTTTCCATCCTTAACTGTTTTTATCTAGTTTGTTATTTTTTTAAATTTCTTTTGGGTGTTCGAAGTCACATCACAGATGTTCAACCAATACATTATTTCGTTCTTATGCTATTCCCCCCTTTTTGGAACTTGAAATCTTTACATTGAGATTGTGCGATTCAAATCCTGGGGCTCATGCTTTCACTCTCCCATGCCTAATCTTGATTCTACTGCATCCCAAGTACAGCCTTTTGCTTTTTTATTGCAGCAGTTACAATTTTGAGACATATTTTTTCTGATGTGGAAATACATGTGGTGAGAACTGAGCTGGCTCTTGCAGCTTGTTTTACACAAATCACTGAGAGAAGTTGAGGGACTAATGGATTTCATTGACTACTGACTATAAAAATGGATTTAAACCAATATCCTCAAAGCAAAAGGTGTCATGTTCCATCACCATTCTAGAGAGTTGTTAAAGTTGTAAAGAGCATGGCCTACACTGCCAATACAAACATCTGCAGCACCTTCCACCAAAATATTGTCTGTTTTAAAAACAAACACAATATAAAATGTATAAGAGAATGCGACAACATCCCCTGATGAGTCAGTACAGATCTATCTAGTCTTGCACACGGTATGCAAGATTCACTTGGCTGCTCTTCCTCGCAGTTTTCCCACAGCCAACCCCATAATTCATGCATTGGCAAAGGGCAGCCTTGCAAAGACCCCTTTGCCACAGGATCAATGGTGCCAGGCAGTGGGCATTCCACCACAACAATTCCGGAAGAACCACAGCACATGCCTGAATCCAGCAAGTGGAAGGGAAGGCAAGGGAAAAGAAAATCAGAGGCTAGGTAGCTCGCTGTACATCAGGGACAAGTTTAGCATAGCTCCAGTGATTTTAAAGCATGGTAAGAACAATGAAGCTCAACAAGCAAACAACAAAGGAAGCAAGAGGAAGGCAATTAATGTTCCTACTTAAAAATTTCATTCTCCACTGAATTTGAAAACGTTTGGTAATAGTCCAGGCAAGAAGGCTGTGCTATGCCTTTCAGCAGTGACATCAAAATTACATAAGTCGTCAGCACTGCAAGTTGCCAGTGACTGACAGCAGGTACTTCAGACACACTTTTTAAAAGGTACTGGGGCATCCAGAGGTGGCAATGCACTGCATCCACTGCATATGGCAAGAATCTTCAGAGGTTACCTGATTCGCCTTAAAAACCTGCAGCAAATGACCACCATTTACCGTAGAGCAGCTGAAGTTGCTCAGCACTTTGGGAGATTAGTTCCCAGATTAATTAAACTGTATCACCTGACAACTGCAGAAAGCCTTCTGCTAAGCCTGGTATCTTGCAGCCCTGAGGACCTGAATGGCAGAACTATGTTTTTAATCGTGCTCCTAGAGAAGAAATTGTGCACTTAAAATCCTTTTCTTTAGAAATACCCCATTTGTTTTGAGTGCTTGAAGGGTCCTTAACCCTACTATTTTTATGTCAAGATGTCTCAGGATTCTAGGTATTTTACAAAGAAAAACAAATGCAATTCCAATCTCCTAGCCTGCTAAATGAAATTGTTACTATAAAGTATTACCCTACATAGTAATTCAAGACCTAAGAAGACAAGAATCTTTAGGTATATGTTTCTAACTCAAGTCCACTGTTCAAGAGTTTCACGATATATAGACATGGAATTGCAGAAGGAAATCTATGCATAAGACTATTCTTCTTCACTTCATTAGGACCAGAATGCTATGAAACTAACTTACAGTCGCCATATTCTGCTATGGCTGCTCTGGACAGGGATTTAGAGAAACCTTAGGTAAATGACACTATATATTCCATCCAAGTTCCTCTGCACACAAGCTGAGAGAGACTACCTGAATAGCTTGGATTCAGATAAACATATAATTTTAATTATATGAGACAAGTCAGAATGTTCAATTTACAAACTGATGCAGTAACGATGACATGTCTGTTCTTATGGGGTGATAAGTATATCTTATGAGCATAAGGCACTGCAATCCAACATGGATAAATAAAGAGCTTGGTAGAAATCTTAGTCATGAAACTAGTTGCTTTCAACTGGCAGAAATACTGACCTTACAATAAGGAAAGATTTTTGTGCGAAGCCACCTGGTGACCCTGGGAAAAGAGAAAACATCTACATGCAAGGTGAAAGATACTAAAAAAATGAGATAAAGCGGTCTACGACTAGAGTGGTGCAAATCTCTTTCCCCACTATCACGAGTGGAGATCAGCCTCCTTCACTCTGCAAGGCATTCAACATTGGGCTCAGCAAGGTAGCTGAGTTTCCACAGCTATTAACTTTAAGATTAAGAAGAAAGCTGCAGCTCAGGAGCTGAATAGAGCCTGGAACTTTGTTTTGTTATAACCAACAGCTGAGTGTTTCTTTTCACAAGGTTTTGCTTAGGATCACTGTGTGTCTTAAAGCATGCCCTACCAAAGACG